TTTGTTTCTTTTTTTTTTTTCTTTTTAACTAGGTTCTAGAACTTAGATTGGATTCTCTTGTAGAACCAAGATTTGGGATCTTTTAGAGAACCCAATCCTAGGTTTCAAAACCCCAAACACTTAGGTCAACGGATTCTCACCAAGAACTGGTGGATTCCTAGGTACTCACTATAAACCAGTATTTGAGAGACTTGATTTAATTCTCAATTATACAATAGTAGCTTGTTTATGCTTCCCATCAATTTTGACTTTGAAGATCTCTAGCTCTTTTCATTGCTTTTAAGAGCAAAGAAGCCACCTTTAATCAATTATGAAGATAACCATCCTCAATCTCTCATTATCCCTATATTTTACCTCATTTCTCATACAAAATACCAACCATTTCAATTTTCATCTCCTAGATCGTTTTTGTGATCTTTGTTGGAAAGCTATTAATAGTAATATTTTTTAATTGAAAAAAGAAAATGACCCATTGTAAAGATTAGGCCTATAAATAACCCACAACCACCACTGTAAAGGTAGATTCATTATCGTTATTTCTCTTTATAAAGCTCTCTTAGAATGAGCTGAATATTTCTTACTTGAAAGTCAAGAGTCAATCCCAAGATCACCTGGATTCTATTTTGCAAGACATGTCAGATGAATTGAAGAGGTTGATCTCTACACTTATATACCACTTAACGTTTCAATCACATTAATCCCATTAACATCACAATCTCCTTAGCTTAAATGCTTGATGTCCTCATCAATTTCAATTAAAGTTAAAACAAGACTCATTCGCACACAAGCACAAGATTCACCTTAAGTGATTCTAGGTCCACATTACCATCAACTATGATAGTCAGTATGGGCCAACATTTTTGAAAGGTGACCACTATAATACCAATTAAAACAACTTGAGACAAAATCCGTCACTAGCCTAACAATTCTTTGGGCCAAGATCCATAGGCTCTCAAAAGTTTGAGCTCATGTTGTTAGCAATGGTTATTTTTCATGCTTACATACCACTCATCCTCACCTTTCCACCCAATATGGCATTTAGGGTGTCATGTCTTAATAGGATGAATTAAGGTGCTCATTTCTTACCAAAATGAATTGAAGACCAAAAAATTAGAAGTCATTGGGTCTAAGATCAAGAGAACTAGAATCAACATGGAGCTAATTTGTGTAATTATATTTGCACCAACTATGGGAAATGAACTAAAAGCTTTTTGCGTTACATACTATTCTAGCCAAACAGCAAGAAGAGTAGAGGAGTAGTGGCCTACCAAAGAGAAGCATTTCCATGAAGAAAAAAAAAAAGATGGAGTAACTTGCTAAACGTTATGTAGCAAAAGCAAACATCTCCTCAAAAAGCATGCTGAAGTAATGGTTATATGAATCTAT